CGCTGGCGCGTCCAGTCGGTGGACCATCTGCACACGAGGCCCGTAGGCTGTAGCCCAAAAGTGTATTTCTAATCGCAACCAGATTATGAACCGTAGCTCATGCAAAACGTTTGATCGCAACCAAACGATGGACCGTAGCCCTATATAACATTTATATACCTGACCGATCGCAACCGGCCTGGTTAACAGTTGGTATGGTTCTCAACCCATCCAACTGCCCGTATAGCCAATTTGATCGCAACCAAATTGGGGAATCATGCATCACATAACACATTATAACACATAATTGCACATTGGGAAGGGGGACACACAAATAAACTTACGTGTGATCATTCACAACTAAGAATAGTCCTAAGGGGTTCATACAGCTTCCACCTAGGTCGACGGGTTACCGATTCAACTAGCATGCAATTCCTAAGACTCTTCTACCCTACGAATGGCATCCGAAACATCAAACTAGACTCAAGCACGACAAACGGGGTCCGTTGGGACACCACGGGGAATGGGGAACATCAAACGGGGAAGCTGAGGACCCGGGGTGGGTAACTGACCAGCAGGTAGCCGGTGGGTGGGGGTCACCCGCCGGCTGCCCGCTGCCTGGCGGTAAATCTCGAGCAGCGGGTAGGTGGCCGGTACCCCTACCCCCACTGACTCTTTAACTCAATAAACGTCCCGGGATCCTTTGTGGAACCCGAAACCATGCTTAGAAACTTTTAAACGCAATCAACGACACCACATAGGCAATTAATGGATTGAGAGCAAGAATCATATTGAACACATCTTAACATGACTTCTAGACACGAACAACGCCCGAACACGCCAATTCCCACCCAAATATAAACCAAGAACATCACAACACAAATTCCCAAACCAACCTAGGGCTCTAATCCCATCCAATTCATCAAAATCATATTTTATCTCTATCATCAAGAAACATCAAGATTTCATCAAGAATCATCACATAAATATAAAGAACCTCTATTTAACATCAAGATCACATATACAATCATCACATCAATCAACACGATTATATCACGGATATCATAAAGAAATTCATCAAGACACAAGTATATAGAGGGAGCCAAAGGAGGAGAATATAGCAAGGAAAATAGGTTTTGTTGAGATATGGGTTACCTCTTAGTCTTAATTAATTTCCTTGGCTATGAAGGGTCTTTCTTTAAGATTTCTTCTTTCTTGATTTCTCCTATGGGAATTCTTGGCGATTCTTGTGTGGTGAGAGTTTATTGTGGTGTGAGTTCTAGGTGCCTCCTATGTCCCTATTTATATACCTAAGAGTCCTAATTAGGATCTAAATGGCATGGGTTTGCTAATTCTATTTCCTATAGGACTAAGGGATTGGTTTTAGGAATAAGGGTTCATGGGCTTATGGTGGGCCCTTCCTAATTAATTAATAAAATTTAATTCTTTCTTTTTGGGTAAATGATTAAATAATTAATTAGTTTAGGGGCCGTAGCACGGGGTGTTACAGTATCCTTGTTGGTAGAACCCAGTTTGAAAAATGCAGGGTTGTGTACCATCCCGTTAGTTACTTGTTGTGAGAGGGATAGTATGAGATCAATTTTTTTGCTTCGACCTTGAGCCATGATGATCAGATCGGTTGATAGAAGAGGGATGAGAATTTTCTGGAGAGAGAGTTCTATGATATTTTGAAGGTCTGGAAGATTTTTCGGAGATATAAGTGAGGGGTTTATATGAGGGGGGTGATTCGAAGGGGTTTTTCGAATTTAAGATAGAGATGAGACTTCTCAATTGTACCCTTTGGTTGAGGTGTGTCGAATAGGTAAGTTTAGGGTAGATGAGTCATCTGATAGATGGTGTTACGAGGAAAGAGAAAATATCATCATTAGCAGATAAGAGCATTTAATGCTCACACCTCTTTAGGAATACCCTATGCACGTAAGGTGTAGAGGATGGAGATTTGAAGAGACACTTAGAGATTAAGAAAGGATTTGGGTTCTGATCTCCTTGAGATTTGTTTATGGGGGTCGATTGAGAGGTGGATTTTGCTGACAGGCGAGATGTGGGTGACGATTCGAGAGAGAAAGTGAATCTGAAGGATTTTGATTTAGGAGAGGATTAGGGGGGGGGGGGGAGGTTTAGGTTGGGTGGAGGTTTATTATGGGTAGGAATTTATGGGTGGAGGTTTGATTCCCAATTAAACTCTGATTTTCCTCCATATCTCCTGATTTCCTTCTCAAAAACGTGTACCACAAATATAATCATACTCAAGCATCTCGTTAGTAGCAAAAAAAATTATCCATAAATAATCAATCACACATAACCATATATATTAATCATACACACGGCAATTTCCAATCAAAATAAACACATTTTGGAAATTAACAAAATTATCACACATTTTCCAAATTTAAAATTAGAGACCTCTTCACATAAATTGCATACAAAGCAGATTCTAAAACATTTTAAAGACTAACAAAATTTAACTTTTAGTTCAGATTTCTAAAATATTTTATAGCAAATTATATCACATATGCACAAAACACATATATTATGCTGTAAACACGTTAAATTAGATTTTTAGGTACATTGTTCATGCAAACAAATTAATCAATTTATACAAACATGAACAAATATTCGCAGACTAAATAACACATTGAATCATGCAATTTTAAACAAATTGTCAAATAATCACAAATTGCACATTTCGTCAAATTAATTTGCATGGCATATGATTTCACGTTAAATAACACATGCAAATACACAAATAAATTCCTAACACATATTACAATTTTATCACACAAAATTTCGAATAAATATATGCATATAATTACGTAAAACAATTTATTTTGAGCACAAGTATTAATTTAAATTGAGAGATTAAGTCCAGTGATACTTAGCTCATTTCGATCATTCTCAACTCGTGCCTTAAGGTAGAAAATCTCGTTTCGCATAAAGGCTTCGTGAGAATATCAGCAACTTGGTTTTCCGTAGGGATATACTCGATCTTTAGATTTTTCTTTTCAACGTGATCTCTTATGAAATGATGTCGAATGTCGATATGTTTTGTTCTTGAGTGAAGCACCGGATTGTGAGTGATAGCGATTGCACTAGTATTATCATAATAAATACTAACGTCATCACAATTAACTCCGTAATCCTTCAATTGTTGCTTCATCCACAAAATTTGCGCACAACAACTTCCTGCAGCAATATATTCGGCCTCGGCGGTACTAGTTGCGATGGAATTTTGCTTTTTGCTGAACCAAGAAACAAGCCTTCCCCCCAAGAACAGGCATGTCCCGGAAGTGCTTTTTCTGTCTATTTTGCAACCTGCAAACTCCGCATCTGAAAAACCCGTTAGAGTAAAATCTGTACCTTTTGGATACCATAATCCAACACTGGTTGTGCCTTTCAGATGTCGTATGATTTTCTTTGTTGCGATGAGGTGGCTTTCTTTAGGATTTGCTTGGAATCTTGCACACACTCCCACAGCACAAGAAATGTCCGGCCTGCTTGCAGTAAGATATAGAAGAGAACCAATCATTCCTCTATATTTTGTTTGATCGACATCCTTTCCGTCTTCATCTTTGTCTAATCTTAATGATGTGCTCATTGAAATTTTGATCGATGATTTTCCATCAAGGCTAAACTTCTTTATCAAGTCGCGGGTGTACTTTGCTTGATTGATGAATATTCCTTCTTTCAGTTGTTTGACTTATAAGCCCAAGAAGTAATTTAATTCACCCATCATGCTCATTCCAAACTTGTTCTGCATAAGCTTTGAAAATTTCTCACACAAAGAATTGTTAGTGCTCCCAAAAATAATATCATCAACATAGATTTGCACTAATAAAATATGATCACCATCTTGAATTCTAAATAGAGTTTTGTCAATAAGGCCTTTGGTGAATCCACATCTTATCAAGAACATTGACAAAGTATCATACCAAGCTCGAGATGCTTGTTTCAACCCATACAATGCCTTTTTAAGTTTGTAGACTTTATCACCTTCGCCTTTTACCTCAAAACCTGGGGGTTGTTCGACATAAACTTCTTCTTCGAGTAGACCATTCAAGAATGCGCTTTTCAAGTCCATTTGATAAACAGTGAAATCTTTGTGTGCGGCGTAGGCTGAAAATTCTGATTGCTTCAAGTCTGGCTACTGGTGCAAAGGTTTCGTCAAAATCTATTCCTTCTTCTTGAGAGTACCCTTTTGCAACGAGCCTTGCTTTATTCCTAACAATCACGCCTTCTTTGTTTGCTTTGTTCCGGAAGACCCATTTGGTTCCTACAACATTGTGGTTCGTCGATCTTGGAACAAGTTCCCAAACGTCATTTCTTTTGAATTGATCAAGCTCTTCTTGCATAGCATCTATCGTGTGACACCCGGTATCTTCCTAAAAATAAACTATAGTCCCGATAATAAATTTTTTTAATAAAAATATTTATATAGCTATTTATTTTAAAACGGGTTCGTGTCTACCTATTATGGTGAACCAATATTTTATACTTTTTTTTTTTGAAAGTTACTGGCTCTATTACATTGTAGTATCTGTTCATATACTTTCTCAACCTACTGAAACACAAAGAACCAATAACGCCTCTACTGAGGCTCGAACTCATAATCTTCCAAATGGAAGTCCAACCCGGGTACCATTGGACCACATAGTCCTGGTGAACCAATATTTTATACAAAATATGCCTAGACCCAAAATGGTTTTTAATTTCTAAAAGCCTAGTATTATCTCTCAGCCCATATGTTGTATAAATACATGTGTTATAATTATTGTTGTGAGCCCAAAATATATTTATATATTTTTGTATGACCCTTGACCCAAGAGAGCGACCCAACCCAAATTGTGGTCTTGAATCCTACCCAACCCAAGTTTTGACCCAAGTCTAATCTAAGCTCAACCCAACCCACAAATAGAAAATCTACCCTACTCAAAATAGATGGAGTATACATGTGCTATGCTTCTTTTCTTCTTCTGCCATTTTATACCTAGCATTGTCCATCCGAGAGGTGAGTGAAACCACCATTGACCTCTTCCTTTCTTTGACCTACAATGGTGAGGTGAATAGCCTTGGAGTCAGTCAGTGATCACCATCTCCATCTCTCTCGTTCCCGCTCCGGCAACCAAACCCCCCATCCCGTTCATTTCTCTCGGCCAAGCAGTGGTGGTGGAAGATGTAGGTGATGACCAACGAGCGTGATAAGTTGCTTCGTGAGTTCCAGCGATCACCACTGGCGAGAAGCGTTCCTCCAACGAACGGCAAAGCTCCGGCCTTTCCTCGGTTTTCCGGTGAAGAAGCAAAGCAAGTCGACGGCAATAGCGTTGGTCCTCGGTTAACGATTAGTCCAGCTATCTCCGGTGGTCGTCCAGCGGCGGCGGTTGAGCAGGAGGCGACAACGTGGACGGCGTATAGAGCTTCTCCTCTGCTTCCGACGTCCAAAGCAGCATCGGCAGTAGTGGGAGGTTCGTGGCAACGGCGGTGTCGACGGAGCTCGGTGGTGGCGTCTCTCCTCCGTTCCCGGCGTGGTGGCTCTCAAGCGGTGTGTTGTTCAAGGTGTTCCCCGTGGGCAGAAGTAAGGTGGAGGTCCTCACCGTGTTCCACCCGCGGGCTCTGTTTCATGAAGAAGACGAAGAAGATCGATGGTGAGCTTTAGCTTTGGTTCTTGTTGTTGCTTAGTGTTTAAATAGGTTTTATGTTGGTTAAGCCACTAAGTGGTTAATTAGCTTGGTGGTAAGGGTGGTGTTTATGCTTATGGGTGGCTAGGGTTCTAATCCTAGCTTTGCTTAATTAGTTAAGTTGTAAGTTTTAATTATAAGCCCTACCCAAGAAGTTTAGTTAATAGTTTTCTTATTAGTGTTGTGATTAATTAACAATAGGATGCCTAGCTTGAATGGTTAGACTTGTGGGTAATTTAGGGTTGAACTAGAGTTCAAATCCCCTTATGAGCTTATTAGTTTTAAATAGTGCTTGTGTTGATAGTTGAAGGATCGGTTTGATTCACAGGTTCCCGGTAGCTTGGTTTTATGAGTTGAGCCTATGTTGGCGTTGGTTTTGGTTGGATAAGCGAATGAGGTAACCCATGCTCTACAAAATCTATTTTGCTTACATATATGTGATTTCTTGGATTCTACATGTGTTTTGCTATGAAATGTGAGTGTTTATGCATTGTCTTGTGAAAATGCATATCTAGAGCTTGTGTTTAGGGTTCATTTGTGTCATTACTTGGCATTTCCTTTGATTCAAGTCATTTTGTTGTATTTGGTGAGATTTGGCATGTTTTGGACTTCAATTTGAGCTTGGAGTTGAAAATCCCCGAAGGGATTATTTGTGGTACAGGGGTGTACCCGTGGGCAGAACGGCGGGTAGGGGTCCAACCCGCCGCCCACCCGCGGGGTACACATTTTGGGTAGCCTGTACCCGCGGGCGGAACCGCGGGTAGAGGCCTACCCGTGGGCCTACCCGCGGGTACGTGTTGTGATGTTGTTGGGGATTTGTTCCCCGTGATTCTTTTGACTCGGTATTTGGTCTTTTGACTTCCCGATGTTCTTTTATGGAACTATTTGAGTGTCTTCTTGATGTTTCGTATGTCTAGAACTATATGGTAGGATTCCATGTAGGTTTTGGTTTCTTGAATCGTGCTAAGTGTTCAACATTGTGTTTCGTTGAACCGTGATGAGTTTTGTGTGTTCTTCGGAACTACGTTTGGTTTATCCGTTTGATAAGCATGCTAGTTTGGTGTTTAAATGCTAGCGTGTGTGTTGTTTGTACCTTCCTATTGGTTGATCATAACTTGTGTTATTCATCGTTGTTGTTGTTGGACTGTGATCCCTTCATTGATTGAGTATGTTTTCATATCTTCGTTGTGATCCGTTGATTGATTCCTGCTGAGGTGTGATGTGTGCGTGGCTTTACCTGGATTGCACGATTAGTGGTATGGGACACTAGTCACCAAGGTATTGCAGCGGTCCTCATGGTGGTCGTGACGTGATTATGGAGTTGTGACGTTTGTGTAAGGTTCACGTGATTCTTGGGTGGCATGTGTTTCCGTGTGTGTGTACGGTACCCTCGTGTACTATGAAATTGGTGGTTTTGTTGGTGGTTTGTTGGTGGGGGACGACGGTCCCAGGAGGGAAAAGGTTGGACTAAGAAGTACAGGGGTCCTGGAGGTAATGGTTGGAAGAAGATACAAGGTTGGGGGTAGCCATAATGTTGGAACCGGGCATAAGGAAGGCATATCAACTCGTGGTGGGTGATGTCACGAGGGCTCGTGTAGCCGTTGTTGTGAGTTCTTCTCTTGTGACATGTGTAGTCACAAAGGCAAGTGTTGCCTTGGCATGTGTTGCCGTGGGTGAGTCTTATTCCTTTGAGTTATGTATGTCGGGTTTTGATCTATGTGTGATGATAGATCATACATTGAGACTTCTTGTGAGTTGTGTTGTTCTTTGTGGTCTTGGGATGTGTTCCCATGTTCTTGTTGAGAGTGTTGAGTCTTGTGTTGACTATTACTCTTGGTTTTGTACTTATATACTTATGTATTTCCGTTTCGAAAATGGCTTTACAACTTATATCTTATCTATGTATGATATTTCACATGTATTGGTGGGTTACCAGCATTATTCGCTGACCGGGCGTCGTCCCATGTTTTACTGTGTTCTTTCAGGTGATGTCTAGACGAGTGCGCGGTCTAGTGCTTGCTAGTATAGCTTCTTCCTTTCGTTTTGTGGCCTGTGTGCCAGCTTAGATATAGAACTCTGAGACAATGGGTTTAGATGTAAACATTGCAGATGTTGCCGGTGCGTTCATCCTTTTGGTGAACGTGGCATAACACTCCGTGTTCCGGATTATGTCTATTTATCTATCTTTCGGTCTTCCGCTGTGTTTGTCGTTTAGTTCAGTTATCTGCATGTTTAAGGCTTTTAAATAGCATGTTTTTAAGGGGTGTTACAGTTGGTATCAGAGCCTAGGTTTGAGCCTAGGATGTTAAAAGTTGGACCTTAAGAACCTAAGTTGAGCTTAGGTTAGTGCTCTAAGTTGAAACCTTAAGTTGTTTAGTGAAGCCTCTAAGTGTTTAAGTACCTAAGTATAGGACTTTTAGGACGCGCGGTGAGGCTATGAGTTATCTTTTGCTGTATGTTTAGTTCTTTTATCTTGTTCTGTTGTTAGCTCTAGTAGTTGTGGCTGTTGTTCTCGGTTGGTGTGAACCTTCTCGGTAAGTTGCCTCGTCCTGATCTCGTTGAAGTCTTGGCGAAGACTGTGTCCAAGAGTAAGAAGACCGAAGATCTGCTGACACAAGATGGTCAAGTCGTGGTGGTTGCAGCTGGGCACGTGGTCAACGCAAAGAAGATGGACTGCTCTACTTGCAACCTAGAGACAGCTACAACAATCTCCGCTCAAGCAAGTGACATCGTCTCTCGTACGACATCGTCATCAGTTTCACGCTAATCCTAGAGTTGAAGTCTCATTTTTGTGCAACCGTAGTCCGTTAAGAAGCAAGACGTCGTTTAGAGTTCGAAGATAAGGTTTAGAAGACCCTCACTCGCGAGGGGACGTCAAGAGCGGTCCCAGACGCTCTAAGAAGATGTCAACATACGCCAAGTGGTCGCCTACGGATCAACGTGTTAGAAGCCTTCCAAGAGTTAAAGAGCTACGAGTCAACCTTGAATCCTTCCAAAGCACGAAGAGTTGAAATCTAAGTTCGAGGTGTTCAACGTGGAAGTAGTATTACCTACCTTCGAAGAAACCGAGAGTGGGCAAGTTGAAGCAACGAACCTGGGAGTAGTAAAGTTCAAGATGTCTATACAAGGAAGCTTGGACCTCTAAAGGTACACGGGGAAGAAGAACATCGTTGTTAACAAGTCGCCTGATCCTGTGAATCATAAAGAGGTTAAGAAGTAGTTGGTGTATGAGGGTAGCATTTATCCTTTTCGGCACACCTGGAAAGTTATGGGTAACATGAAGTCTTTTGGTAGGGAGGTTCGACAACAAAGAAGAAATGAAGTCGTAACCGAGTTGCAATCAAACGTTGGGGCAGCCAGATGACTCAAACCGATAAGAGCGAAGCGAAGAGGGATCCGATCACCGAGTGTTCTTAAGTTGCAAGGAAGACGCTGTGCCGATGATTTTTGGTGAGAGATATACCTAAAACCAAGAAGGATCAAGAGATAACAAATCTTGTTTGGGAAGTTTGAACCGTAAAAGAAAGGAGAGTCAGAGATCAACCTAAAGACTGATTCTACCGTTGGACCTTCATGAGTTGGACATGCTCGTGTGACAACCAAGTTTCCAAGGAAGACTTACCGTTAGTCAAGACAAGAAAAGACCAAGTGGTTGTAACCGACTACCTTATGAAGACTGCAAAGTTATCAACAGTGTACAAGACTCGACCTACTGAGCTTCTAGTAAGGACAGGAGCAAATCTTTGGACGACGAACCATGTAAGGCCTCCAGATGTTGACTTTAGCAAAGACTTCAGTTTACGAAAAGTTCTACCGTTTGCATTTGGCTTAAGGTTACAGTTGAGCTCTACAATCCAACCAGTTTTAAATGGTTAAAGGAAAGAAGCATACAGATCAAGAAGGCAAGTTGGAAACTTGCGTTATGGATTCACGAAGGCCGTGGATTGTGCTCTATGAATTGATCAAGTTTCTCTATCAGCGGTGATTGTTGTGCAAGCGATACGCGAGTGCTTAGACCTCGACGATCTTCAGGTGCATCAAAGAAGGAAGTTTAGTGTGAAAACCACCGAAGTCTTGGGATGACAAGAACAGACAACCGGGTACGCTTAAAGAAAGAGGGAAGTGGTAATCAGTGTTTCGACCGATCGTGTGTTAGCTAGAACGGACAACAAGCCGAATCTCTAAGAAGATTAAGGAAGTGTGCTAAGAGCTTCGTTACCGACGCAATGATGAAGACCGATAAGGGAAGTAAGCCAACTCCTAGTTGCCTAATCCGTGTGAGTTTCGCTCAGCCGTAACGAAGTGAAAGAAGAAGCCAGTGTTTGAAGAAGGGTTTGTGGTGAATATGTTTGTGATTTCAGCTTATGAAGAGGGTCCGATAAAGATCTTAGCATTAGAACACGTCAGAATCAGAGTAAGGCACCTTCAGTTCGTTATCTGTGCAGCGATCGAAGCGGCAAGTCCAAGAAGTCGCCTGAAGTCGAGAATCCTTAACCCTCTTTAAGCCGCTTTCCTCCCTTTCCCTCGTCAAATCTCCTACCCTTCTCGTGAAATCCGTCCTACCTTTTCGAGCCTCGTTCTTGTTTTCCTTCCTAATTTGACTCCGTACAAGGTGACAACCTCGTTTTCTTAAGTTGTAACCTTGAAAATCTTGATTTCCTTTCTAATCTATGCTATCCTTGAGCCTAAATCTAGTACCTTTCGTTAGGAAATCTTTATAATTCTTTCAAATCTCGTTCTTGATCCTTCACTTCAAACGATTCTGTGCAAGGTGGCAACCTTATTTCCTAAGTTGCAACTTTGGTAACTTTGATCCTAATCCTAATTGACGTCGTCCTCAAGTTTGGAACCTAAACTCTCATCCTCTTTTCTTACCAACCATCGTGTCCTCGAGTTTAAAATCTAAACCCTTCCACCTTTCTAACCCTTCGAACCAAATCCTTTCCAAAACGTGGTGTATATATACGTATATATTTTGTCCGCAAAAAAATATTTTCCCTATATACTACCATATTTTTTTATGACACTCCTATCCCCAAAATGATTTTCCAACTTCGGGGACGAAGCTAATTTTAAGGGGGTGAGGATGTGACACCCGGTATTTTCCTAAAAATAAACTATAGTCCCGATAATAAATATTTTTAATAAAAATATTTATATAGCTATTTATTTTAAAAACGGGTTCGTGTCTACCTATTATGGTGAACCAATATTTTGTACAAAATATGCCTAGACCCAAAATGGTTTTTAATTTCTTCGGAACTACGTTTGGTTTATCCGTTTGATAAGCATGCTAGTTCGGTGTTTAAATGCTAGTGTGTGTGTGTTGTTTGTACCTTTCTATTGGTTGATAATAACTTGTGTTATTC